TTCTATTGGAGTTGAAGAATCAGATCCATCATCGTCTGGGATCTTCGTCTACTGAAACTCCACTTGTTTTGGAGTATGCTCCACCTACTGCGGAGTACTACTTGTTTGGATAGCTTCATTTGTTACCTTCTTTACTAGGGAAGATTCATCAAAGGTAACATCTCTGCTACAAATTATCTTCTTGGTGTCTAAAAACCAAAGGCGGAATCCCTTCACTCCATGAGTGATTCCCATAAAGAGAGCCTTCTTTGCTCTCAGATCAAGCTTGGATTCCTTCACATGATAATAAGCAGTGGATCCAAATACATGTAAGGAATCATAATCAATAGCAGGTTTTCCAGACCATACCTCCAATGGTGTTTTTCCTCCTATCGCTGATGACGACAGACGATTAATGAGATGACCAGCATATGTCACAGCCTCAACCCAAAATGCCTTGCCTAACCCAGCATTAGACAACATACATCGAACTTTCTCCAATAGTTTTTGATTCATACGCTCTGCCACCCCATTCTGTTGTGGTGTATGTCTAACAATGAAGTGTCGAACAATACAATACTCATGGCAAACGTCAAAGAATGAGTCACTTTTATATTCCCCTCCATTGTCCGTCCTAAGACGTTTGTTCTTTCTACCAGTCTGGTTCTCGATCATATTTTTCCATTTAGGAAAATTTGAAGCACTTCATCTTTAGACTTCATCGGATACACCCAAACTCTTCTGGAAAAGTCATCTAAAAAAGTTACAAAATAATGGTTTCCTCCCAAAGATGATGTCTTTGAAGGACCCCATACATCTGAGTGAATATAATCTACAATACCTTTTGTATTATGTATAGTGGTGCCAAACTTCACTCTCTTCTGCTTTCCAGAACACAATGCTTGCAAAAGTTCAATTTGCAAGCCTTTGCACCTTTCAACAATCCTTTCTTTGCTAGAATTTGCAAGGATTTCTCTTCAGCATGTCCCAACCGCATATGCCACAACTGGGTTGCGTCCAAATCATCACCTCCGGAAGCTGCTGCAACTGCTCCAATAATTGTACTACCTTGGTAGTAATACAAATTATTTTTCCTGATGCCCTTCATCATCACAAGTGCGCCATATGTGACTTTTAAAACTCCATCTCTCATAGTGACTACTGAGCCTTTGGATTCCAAGGCTCCCAACGAGATGAGATTTTTCTTCAAACTGGGCACGTATCGGACATCCGTAAGAACTCTGGTTGATTTCATCTTTATTCTTCAATCGAATTGAACCTATCCCAACAGTTTTATAGGCATTGTCATTGCCCATATAAACAACTCCTTCATTTAGTTCCACTAAATCGGAGAACCACTCCCGATTAGGGGACATATGATAGGTGCAACCCGAATCTAATATCCACTCATCGGAATGGAATGTTGTTGATGAAGCAACCAATGATATGTCAAAGAGTCATGTGCATCATGCTCTGCAACACATGCATCTGGAGCAGCTTTTCCTTTCTTCTTCAGCTTCGGACAATCTTTCTTCTAATGGCATTTCTCATGACAAAAGGCACATTCATCTTTTCCCAGTCTGGACTTCGACTTTGATCTCCCTCTCCACTTTGGCTTTTGACTTTTCGAGTGACCTCTTGCCACCATGGCCTCCGCTGCTTCGTACTTGTTCTCCTTCTTGGTTTTCTTCCTGAGTTCATAACTATACAAAGCAGTAGTTACATCTTTAAGGGTAACATTATCCTTACCACAAAGTAACGTTGTCTCAAGGTGCTCAAATTCATCTGGAAGAGATGACAACAACATCAAGGCCAAATCCTCATCTTTGAAGGTTTCATCCATGCCCAATAAGTCTGCCACTAGCTCATTGAACGAAGTGATGTGTTCATTCATATTGGGGCCTAGTTGATAATCAAATCTTAATAATATTTTCTTCATGTGGAGATAATTCTGAGAGTTTTTCTTTAGGAATTTTTCCTCCAATGCTTTCCACATCTTACTTGCAGAAGTCTCGTTCTTGTAGCCATACTTCTGCTCCTTGGAAAGACAAGATCGAATCGTGCTGCACGCCAAACGATTGATTATTCCCCATTCTTTCTCCTCCATATATTCAGGTTTTTCTTCCTCAATGGCGATGTCTAGACCTTGTTGGAATAAAGCGTCTAACACCTCGCCTTGCCACATTCCAAAATGACTGGATCCATCGAATAACTCCACCGAGAAATTTGCATTTGACATCACCCTCCTCACCGGTCCAGATGAAGAGCTTGATGTCTCACCTGATCCGTATTTTGGCATTTTAATTCTAACGAACAATATTCAATATCACGAACTGTATCTTTTCAGCAACGAAACCACCAGGATAACCTCAACCGAAGCTCTGATGTCAATTATTAGGGAAATCAGGTTATTTCCCACACGAACGTAGTTTCAAAATTGACCTAAAATGTCAAGATCAAAACCACCAAAGGTTGCACAGTGGATAAATCTGTCAAACTATTGGATATTAAAACACAATGGAAAAACCGAATAAAAAACAATAAAGGAGAGAACACACCAAATTTACTAGGTTCGACGAGAATATCGTCTACTCCTCGGGCACCACACCGGATGATAGCTTCACTATATCGCCAATATTACAACAAATTGAATTCTTTAGAATTCCCAAAGTGGGAGAATAAAGAATACAGGAGGAAGAGAGAACTTATTTTTGTGATTATTTCTAATGGAAATACTTAGGCCTATTTATAGTTGAGTTTTAAGAACAATATGTTCAAAGTTTGGCCACCTACCAAAGAATTTTCCAATGTATACAAGTTAGCCACCAAATATGAAATTCACATGTTCAAAGTTTGACCACCAACCAAGATGAAATTTCCAATAAGTTGGCCACCAACCAAGATGAAATTTCCAACTTGTAAACTTAATTTCTAGACAAATCTAACAGATCCCAAGGATCATCTCGATCTTTTTGAACTTTGATGATGATGATCATGAGGAGGATAATCTCTTGAGAGATGAAAGTGATATGGCATATGATTTTGACAGCCCAAGATCACCCAAACAAAGTTCAGTCCTCAAAGAATCCAAGTAACTTGACACTTATCTTGCAGAAGTTGCACTAGACACAAACGTGTTACCATCAAAATTCATAGCCCTTGCACGATCACTTCCGAATCATGCTCGTGTCGCTAGCAATGGATTATACGAAGCTGTCGATATCTTCCTCAAAGTGAGGTTCTCATAATAAAGCACTAAGTAGTTCCATAGATAAGTTAGTTATCTTTAGGCGTTTCATAATTTCATTTGCAGGCTGTTGGAATCGTTTTCTGCTGCCGTTTACAGGTTCATCCAAACAAAAGGATTTCGAACCCTATAGACTATGCAAAACCATAGACTGTCAGAAACTATCTCAAGAAGCCTGTAGCCATGCAGCGCAGAACGAAAGGTTACCGGTGCAGATGGCAGTCCAAGTGTTACATTTCGAGCAAATCAGGCTTCGGAACGCAATGAGTGGAGGCCACAATCAGTTCTTCTTTGGAACAACCAATGGTCAATCGTTCCCTCAATGTTGGTGCAGTGGTGTTGGAAGTGGAGCCATCTCACCGAGAGACAACTAGGCATCGGTGAGAAGAGAGAACCGAGAGCTGAAACTCGAAGTAGCAAGGATGCAAATGCGGCTAAAAGACCTGGAAAAAGATCATGTGTCAATGAAACAGGACCTTTTCAGATCCCATCCGGCGATCAAGCTACTCAAATCACTCACCAAGAAACTAAGAAAGCTCCACTCCTTGTTCAGGATCAACAAACTGAAGCCTGTAGGGGGTAAAGCGAATTCAGAATCTCGATTCTGTCCCATAGGCGTTGGCGTTACTCAGTATCATGGACATGGTAGCTATTTGGCGAATGTGCGACCATGAGACTCTGTATATGAGTGAAAGTAGGCAGATATTAAGCCATCAAAAATGTATAAAACAATTTTTTCACCCTGTCATTGATTTTCTTCACATGCATAATTGCTCAAAACAAGATGACAAATGGCTCATCTTTCACAGATTGAAGCTTGAGATAAATTATTCTTCTTTGTTTCCATCTCCATTAATCTTGTGACACATGCATAGGGGATGTTTAAAGACATTAAATGTTGTATTCATCTTTTATGAGATGAAGTGATTCGCTTCCAATATTCCATTTTCAATTCCTCACCCCATAGGTGTCAACCTGAGGCAATCAAATTGTCGACGCGAAACACTATCTTTTTATTTGGTTTGTGATTGGAGAATAATCTCCACCAACAGATGACTATTTAAAGATACGGCTTAATTTAGAAGAATTTGGTTTCGGTTCTCCATTGCACCGTTGTGTCTGTCAACATTTTAAGGATAAAACCAGCATCAAATTCTAAACATTGGTTTCGGAAATTGCTTAGCAGTAGCATGCTCTGAATCACAGTAAATGATGTACAGAAAACCAAGCAAGGTTGTGGTTTTATAGCATAGCATTGGTGCGGGCTGCTGCTTGCATATATGGAGAAAAAAAATATTAAGGGACGGACCCCCTGCTTCGAGGGGGGAAAACCAAGTCCGAGAGTCTGACGGAACACAACTAAATGTTAATTAGCAGTTTCCGCCAAAATGGGAAGAACCCGTCAAAATGCTCAGCTAATGCTATGGCCTGATCAGTTCTTTTAGGCCATATTCGGCTTCGAGATCGATCCAGCGGCAATTGAGCCTCCAATGCATTTGCTTTCTTTCCATTGCATACAATTGAAGAGATTATATCAGCATATAATAGCAGATGTACCTTTATTTAGCATAGACAAGGGATAATATTACATGACCAAGTAATGATACAAGTTCCTCCTAAGTTTTAGTATATGGAAAATATATACTATGACTATATATTACCCTGACCAGCCCCAAAAACGGTGTACAAGGGATATGCTCCGCAAAAATAGCATTGTACATACCACAAAAACCAGAAGGAAAAACAGACAGCCGCCTCATTTTATTTTTGTTTATAGAAAGTTGAGGCATGCCTCCGTCAAATCCATATGGCTCCAGCCCTTATGAGCAATGGGACTAGCTGATTCTGCACTTGGAGTGTCATGATTTGATTAGGACCTCCAATGAGTTGCTGCCCTATGAAAATAACCGGTACACTGGGCTTGCATCCCATCTGCTGCAGTGCTCTTTCAACTTGTTGCCCGTCTTGGAGTTCGTCGAGCTCGTAAACCATCAGATTTTCCCCGAACCCACTTATCAGAGTCTTGATGGTATGACTCATGCAACATGTGGTCCGGCTGAAGATCACCACCGGTCTTTCGGCAACCATCCTTGTAACCACTTCAATTGCTTGATGTAGCAGAGAAAAGTACTTTGAAATGTGAGTGTGTGCCTATGGAGCTCCTTGGAGGAGAACTTTGAATGTTTAGTAATCTGCTTGAGCCTAATGAGGAACCTAATCACCCTGGAGGCCTATTTATAGCATCCATGAAGAGATATTAGATACACAAAAGGAATAAAACAAAAATCCATAAGATTACCATTTCCCTATATAACCCTTGATGAATATTTGATAAAGACATCTGTCTCTCCCTGAATTGAGTAAATAGCAAGTTGCATACATAACAATATGCTAGTACGACATGTGACAATAAACACATAAAAAATGATTGCACTATCCTAATTCCAACATTATCACCATGCATAGGACATAAGATATATGTATATATATTTATAGCTGTCATTTCAGTTTTACTGTATATTTTCGGGGTTGTCCGTCTCAACAATATCATTTCTATAGTTTGAAACCGAATTCTCTTTGAAAAATATAATGTGCCTTGTCACTATCGATATATCTATCTTCTCGGGGCATCTCAGTTGAAGTGGAAAAAGAAGTTGCATTTATCCAATTGAATGGAACCTTTTCCCCTCCCTATTTTTTTCATAACAAGATTCCCATGAGTTCAACTCAAGAAACCGAAAGCTAAGCAGAGAGAGAGAGAGAGAGAGAGAAAAGGATAGAATTGGAAAGAAAAGTTATGCTCTAACTGCATAGCTATACCTTGCCCTTAAAAGCATTGAAGGATTACAGAAAACAAACGTGCATGATGTCCGTACAATGAGAAGGAAGAAGAAAGAAGATGCCTTGAGGACCCACAATATTATCTACTCCTTATCGGCATGATAATGAAATAATTAAATTAGTTTCCAGGAAAAGAAGGATACAGATGAAGGTTTGATATTCTTGCAAATGGAACACCATTGTTAGTGCTATAAACTGTTGCATATTCCCATGTTCATAAGAGTAATCAGCCTTGTGATTGGGGTCGCAAAATGGAAACAAGATGTTCTTAGCATAGAAAAAACAGCCATCTGTGCACCCAAAAGGCCATAGACTATTGCAGAACGTGATTAGGAATCGCAACATATCTCTGGCATTGCTATTTGACTAATGCAAAAATAGGACATGAGGGAAACTTATCAGAAAAGGGAAAGTATCTTTTATCTTCTTAGCGTAATGTATTCAAATATCAACTTTTCAGCTCCACAGCGGCCTATTCGACTAGCTTTCGGTGATTTTAGCTGCTTTTTTTTTTTTAATCTTTTGAGTGCATTGGGAGCTAAAATTACAAAGAGATGCCACCGCCATTACTTTGTTCTGCTCTCCTCTCCTCCAAATTCCATGTTAACAAACTATTTGAAAAGTCAATGAATACAATAGTTTAAAAACACTAACAAAATCTATCCCGTTTATGATGATTGTTTTACAATTTGAAAACTGATTTTCTTGTTTATCTAATTCTTTCCTCATTCTAAGCCAATTTTGATCAAATTGGAACTCAAATTGGAACTACATGTTCCTCAAATCGTTGTATAATAACTATGTAGCTTTAATTCCTCCCTTTTACAACAATGTACTTTTTTTAATTTAGTCATTCAACTTTACATGAGTTTCATGTTTCTTTAATTTCCTTCATTTTAAGTCCATTTTAACTAAATTTGAAGCACTTGCTCCCGTAACACTATAAAATAACTATGTAACTTCAATCCCTCATTTAACAATAAATTTCCTAATTTTACAATTTAGCCTCAACTTTACAATTTATTCAATTTGATCATTTAAATGCAACTCTTTGTAAACTCTTTTTACCCATCAATTTATTGACTCATTTATATTTCCACCAATATTTTATTATCAAAATCAACTCTTTTTTTTAAAAAAAAATATTATTTTAGATGATATTTGATTTATTAAGTAACATTACAAATTCTACTTACACATGTGAAAATAATACGAAGAAATATATGTATATAGTATAAGGTTATAAGGAATCTTCTAAATTGGGATCAATTAGTATCATAAAATTATAAATAATTATATTTCAATATAAATTTGAACAAATATATTCAATTTAATTTAATTCAAAAAAATTTAAAAAAGTTTGAATGATAAAATGGTACTCTTAAACTCGACTAGTTCGATTTTTTTCACTCAGCTAAATTAAATACTCGCACCAAATCACATGGTCTACTAACCAATTGTTAATTATTTTTTATTAAGGATAAAGTACACAAATGGTTACTAAACTATGCTAAAATAATCTTTTTGGTCACTAAAGTTTTGAAAGTTACAAAATGATCATTAAACTTATCAGATTGTTATAAAATGATCATTGCACGTTATAAAATAGTGATAAATTTTAATAAGTTTACAAACTATTTTGTAACACTTCGATAAGTTAAATAACCATTATGTAATTGTTTGAGAAATTCAATGATTATTTTGTAACTTTTAAAACTTTAATGACCAACAAGATTCATTTCAACATAATTTAGTGGTTATTTGTACTTTACTCTTTTCTTGAAGTCATTTGAGCTTCCGTTGTAAAGATGTTCAAGGAACTATACACATTTCAAGGTATTATAGTTTTTAGTATTAATTTATCCGGTCAGAATATATTCCATTTCAATTGCATCTGTCTGCATGCTTTGCTGAAACTTTGAGTCCCACCAATATGAATCACAAGTAAGAAAGATGCATCTGCTTTTTCTTCTTTGCCTGATGATAGCATAAAAAAACTTCTCACTTTATTTAATTTTTGCTTCGTGTAAAAGGAATTGTACGTATATATAATCTTTGATCACCAGATATCTCCACGTAATATCAGTAGCCAGACAGGAATGGCTTCCACAAAGAAAAAGGTAAATAGGGCTATCGTAACCCTGGCTCGAGATAAAGCGAAAGGCCAGGGTCACTTAAACAAATTAAGCCACGTATATTCCTATGCACATGTTGGTTTTTTTGGTAAAATCCCACATTGGTTGTGTATAAGGAGGAGGGGAAATTCCTTTGTTATAAATAGAGTCTTCATCCTCCTTAGTTTAGCATCCCACAAATATAAGTCTTCTTCACCATTAAAGGCTATTTATACTCTTTCTCTCTTTGTAATATTTCCTCTATTAGTGAAATATTATTTTAGTAGTGTTCGAGAAGGTAAGCATAATTTTGACCTAACCTCGTTAAATTTTGGTGTTCTCTTTATGTCTATTTAATAGTTATTGTCGGGTATAGTTGTTGTTAATTATTGTCCTATTAAAATTACTTGTCTTGGTAGTTCTGTCTAAGGAAAGTGGATTTTAAGAAGGACCATTGTGACCCCTCCTCTTTCTTGGGAATCTACCTTGGGGTGATTTTTAGTACAATCGTGTTCACACTAGTCACCTAGATAATAGTTTTCAAGGTGAATTTGTTATTATTGGTGGAAATTAACCCGAATTCCACAACAATTGGTATCAGCACTCTTGGTTTATTTTAGTATGCTCTGTGGTTGCAGCTTAGGCTGATCTTTCCCATCAGAAAAAATTTTCTTGGGGTAATTGATATTCTGCATTGACAACTATTAAATAGAATTTATAGCAGAAATGGCAGACGACACAAAAACATCTGCAAGAAATGCTATGACAAATGTTAGATTTGCAGTGGAGATTTTTGATGGCATCGGTCATTTCGGCATGTGGCAAAGTGAGGTTCTAGATGCCCTATTTCAGCAGGGTCTAGACATTGCTATTGAAGGAGAGAAATCATATGATGTTGAGGAGAAAAAATGGAAGATGATCAATAAATTGACATGTGGTACTATTCGATCGTGTCTTTCTAGAGAGCAGAAGTATGCATTTTCTAAGGAAACTTCTACAAGTAAATTGTGGAAGTCACTGAAGGAGAAATTTTTAAAGAAAAGTGGTCAGAACAAGCTCTACATGAAAAAGAGATTGTTCCGCTATAACTATGTACCAGGTACCACTATGAATGATCACATTACTAGCTTTAATCAGCTGGTGACTGATCTGATGAATATGGACGTGACTTTTGAAGACTAAGACCTGGCTCTGATGTTGATGGGATCACTTCCTGATGAGTTTGAGTATCTTGAAACTACTCTACTTCATGGGAAGGTTGATGTTTCTTTCAGTGAAGTAATTGTTGCCTTGTATAGTTATGAATTGAGAAAGAAAGACAAACAAGAAAATACAAGTGCCGAAGCATAAGCTCTTGTTGTTAGAGGTCGTTCGAAGAGTCAGAATAAATGAAGGAGAGAGAGATCGAAGTCAAAGTCCATATTGAGCAAAGATGAATGTGCCTTTTGTCGAGAAAAAGGGCACTGGAAGAAAGAATGTCTCAGGCTAAAGAATAAAGGAAAACCTGAAAGGGGAAAGGCTGTCTCAGAATCAAATGTGGTCGAGTATGATGATACAGATACAGATTTCGTATTCGCTGCTACGCCATCAACCAGCTGTTCCAGTTCATGGCTGTTAGATTCAGCTTGTAGCCACCATATGACCCCCAATAGAGAATGGTTCTTTGATTTTAAAGAACTAAAAGGTGGAACTGTCTACACAGCAAATAATTCCTCTCTTGACACACTTGGGATTGGTTCAATTCGCTTGAGGAATCAGGATGGATCAATCAGAACCTTAACATGTGTCCATTATGTACCAGATTTAATGAGAAATCTCATCTCTGTGGGAACCTTAGAGAAAAGGTTTAGAAGTGAGGGCAAAAGATGAGATTATGAGGATTATCTCTGGTGCACTGGTAATAATGAAGGGAATCCGGAAAAGAAATAATGTGTATTACTTTCTGGGTAGTACAATTGTTGGGACAGCAGCAGTGGCAGCTTCTACTGATGAACAGGAGTCAGAAGCAACCAGGTTATGGCATATGTGTTTGGGGCATGTTGGTGAAAAAACCTTGAAATTGCTGATAGATCAAGGATTATTGAAGGGTGCTCGGGCTTGCAAATTAGCTTTTTGTGAGCATTGCATCAAAGGGAAGAAGACGAGGGTGAAATTTGGAACAACAATCCATGATACTAAAGGTATTTTGGATTATGTTCATTCAGATGTATGGGGGCCTTCCAAGACAACTTCATTGGGAGGAACACACTATTATGTCACCTTTTTTGATGATTTTTTCCGAAGAGTTTAGTTGTATACAATGAAGACAAAGGATGAGGTGCTAGGATTTTTCCTTAAATGGAAAAAGATGGTGGAGACTCAAACAGGCAGAAAAATCAAACGTCTC